CAGCCTGGCTGACACAGAGAAACTGCCTCCAAAAAAAGAAACTATATGTAAAATCTAAAATTATAAAACTTCTGAAAAAACAAGAAAAATTCTTCACAATTTTGCAGTAATCAAAGATTTTTTTTAGAAAAGACAGTGAAAGCTTTGGTAAATGAGTCTATCAAAATAAAAACCTAATACCTCTCTAAAGACTATTCAGAAAATGAAAAGGCTGGGAGAAAATATTCATAATACATATAACTGATGAAAGATTTTATATCCAAAATTATGAGTTGGCCTTTAAATTTAATAAAAAGCTGACAACTTGATTTAAAAACGAGGAAAAGAAGATACATAAATAAACAACATACACATGAAAAATGTTCAACATCATCAACCATCAGGGAAATGCAAATTAAAACCATAATGAGATATTACTACACAAATAACAAAACTTTAAATGACTAACAATACCAAGTGGAATAGAGGATGTTGAGCAACTGCAACAGTAATGTGTTACATATGCATATTAGTAATTTTCATACTACAATGAAGAAATACCCAAAACTGGGTAATTTATGTAGAAAAAGAGGTTTCGGGCCGGGTGCAGCACTTTGGGAGGCCAAGTTGGGCAGATCACAAAGTCAGGAGTTCAAGACCAGCCTGACCAACATGGTGAAAATCCCGTCTCTACTAAAAATGCAAAAAAAAAGCCGGGCATGGGGGCGCACACCTGTAATCCCAGCTACACAGGAGGCTGAGGCAGAAGAATCACTTTAACTGGGGAGGTGGAGGTTGCAGTGAGCTGAGATCATGCCACTGTACTCCTGCCTGGGCAACAGAGTGAGAATGTCTCACAAATAATAAATAAATAAATAAATAAGAGGTTTACACCTGTAATCCTAGCACTTTGGGAGGCCAAGGTGGGTGGATCACCTGAGGTCAGAAGTTTGAGACCAGCCTGGCCAACATGGCGAAACCCCATCTCTACTAAAAATACAAAAATTAGCTGGGTGTAGTGGCACGCACCTGTGTTCCCAGCTACTCGGGAGGCTGAGGAGGCTGATAGCTTGAACCAATGAGGCAGAAGTTGCAGGGAGCCAAGATGGCACCACTGCACTCCAGCCTGGGCGACAGAGTGAGAATTTATCTCAAAAAAATAAGAAGAAAAAGAGGTTTAATGGACTCACAGTTCCACATGCTTGGGAGGTCTCACAATCACGGTGGAAGGTGAAGGAGAAACAAAGGCAACGTCTTGCATAATGGCACAGCGTGTGCAGGGGAATTGTTCTTTGTAAAACCATTAGATCTCATGAAACATTCACTATCACAAGAACAGCACGGGGAAAACCCGCCCCCATGATTCACGTGGGGAATCCTATGACAGATGGGGATAAGGGAGCTGCAGTTCAAGATGGGATTTGGGTGAGAACACAGTCAAATACTATCAATATAGGACTATAAAATGGTACCATCATTTTTTTTTTCTTCTTTTTTTTTTTTTTTTTTCTGAGACGGAGTTTCGCTCTTGTTACCCAGGCTGGAGTGCAATGGCGCGATCTCGGCTCACCGCAACCTCCGTCTCCTGGGTTCAAGCAATTCTCCTGCCTCAGCCTCCCGAGTAGCTGGGACTACAGGCGTGCGCCACCATGCCCAGCTAATTTTTGTATTTTTAGTAGAGACGGGGTTTCACCATGTTGACCGGGATGGTCTTGATCTCCTGACCTCGTGATCCACCCGCCTCGGCCTCCCAAAGTGCTGGGATTACAGGCTTGAGCCACCGCACCCGGCCGGTACCATCATTTTAAAAAAACACTTTCCACTTCCACAGAATATTAACCACACAGTTAACAATGTGACTTGGCATTTCCTCTACTTAGTATGTATCCAAGAAAAACAATAAATGACCATAAAAATCCTTAAATAGAATTTCACAACAGATTTATAATAGCTTAAAAACTCTAAAACATCCAAATATACATCAATGAATGAATGGCCAAATAAGCACTGGTATGTGGAAAACTATTATTCAACTAAGATAACTAATTTCTGATGCACGCAACAACTTAGATGAATGTTGAAAACATTTTGAGTCAAAGAAGTCAGACACAAGAGTTTAACCTGTACAATTTCATTATTATGAAGTTATTTCTAGAATAGGCTAAAGGTAATTCACAGTGATAGAAATCAGATGATTGGTTCCAAGACAAAGGTGTTGAAGAAAACTGAAAGTGGGTAATTTCTGGAGTGATGGACATGGTCTATATCTTGATTAGACTGTATACATCTATCAAAATTGAACTCAAAACTAATTTTATCATACATTAAAATGTGTATTGTTTTATTGCGTATACAGTCTGCCCTAGGTATGTTCAGTTTCTGTATCTGCAGATTCATTCAACCTCACATCAAAAACATTTGGGGAAAAATTACAACAATAAAAAATAATACAAATAAAAAACAACATAGTATAATAACTATGTATGTAGCTCTTTCATGGTATTGAGTATTATATGTAATCTAGAAATGATTTAAATTGTATAGGAGGATGTGCATAGGTTATATGCAAGTACTACGCCATTTTATATAAGGGCCTTGAGCATCCACAGATTTTGTTACCTGCAGGGGTCCTGGAACCAATCCCCCATGTATGTATGTTATAGATATAGTATTTACATATACACATTAAAATGCATACTTTATTATATAAAATGCATACGTACAATAAAATATGTAAAATGAAATATTGTACTGGATAAAATACAGTGAAACTATAAAATAAGTTAAGCAGAATTACAGAAAGCCAAGTTTAACACAGACTTATTTACTGAGTTGGATGTTTTGCCATTAAACTGTAAATATTAATGATTAAATCAGAAAACTTTGGTCAGAGAAGCACAGAAAATCTGTGGAGAAAAGTTGGCAGAAGTCTTATGATTCCTCTGGTCCTCTCTTTTAGTTAGCTTGAGTCAACAGCATGCTACACTGCTGCTGTTAATAACATGACTCTAGGCCTCTCAAGACGGTCTTTTGCACTGCTAAAACCCACATTCTCTCGGAAAGTTCTCTAAAACTTTTAGACTGACATGGAAATGATGCTCTTTCAGAGAATAGTTTTGCACACTACTGGCTGGTGAAATCCAGCCCACAACCTGTTTTTACAAATAAGGTTTTGATGAACTACAGCCATACCCATTTGTTTACCATATATTGTCTATGACTGCTTGCTTTCATATTGCAATGGCAGAGTTAAGTGGTAACACGAAGCCCACAATGTTTACCTGGTCTTTAAAAAAAAAAAAAAAAAATTCCTACCTCTGTTCTAGAGGAACACCAGAAAAATCTGTATCATCTTCTACATGACAGCATTCAAAAATCTGGAGAGTATTATTCCCATACACTCTAGTCTTCCCATTCCGAGTTTTTTAACTATTCCCACAAGAACATTTTCAGTAGCTCAAATCCTAAACATGCCTTTCTAAGACACTACAGTTGATGAGTGATCCTCTTAAAGTATGAAAACGAATTCATCATCTCAGCTAAGACTACAAAGGAACCACTGCATCTATTAACTTCCATGTTTCACCACACTGGTAACTAACAATTTTTATGTAAGAACTTTTTTTTTTTGTAAATCAATGTACATGAATTACTTTCATTTAAAAAAAAAAAACAGTGTATGAGGAGCTATCCACAAATTCTTTCAATGTAATTCCTCTGGATCTGGACACCAGATGCATTTGAAGTATTTAAAGTTCTTAGGTGGTAATCTTCTCTTTCTCTTCACTTTTTATAGGCTACAATTCTATCCCATTATGTCGTTTAATACATGATTTCCAGATTGAGGGTTATTCTAAGTGAAACAAAACAGGTTCTGTGATCAAAGTCCCAAGGGGAAAATTTAGGTACATAAATAAATGTGAAAAAGCAAGCAGGAGAGTGCCCCTAAGAAACCTCAATAAATGTGATTTTAGTGAAATGCGCACAGGCTGGGTGCGGTGACTTATGCCTGTAATCCCAGCACTTTGCGAGGCTAAGGCAGGCGGATCACTTGAGGTCAGAAGTTCAAGATCACCCTGGCCAACATGGTAAAATCCTGTCTCTACTGAAAATATAAAAATTAGCAAGGCATGGTGGCAGGTGCCTGTTAGTCCCACCTACTCTGGAGGCTGAGGCAGGAGAATGGCTTGAACCCAGGAGGCACAGGCTGCAGTGAGTGCCACTGCATTCCACACTGGGTGACACAGCAAGCCTCCATCTCAAAAAAAAAAAAAGGATAGGGGGCACAAACTCGTAAGTCATATAGGACTAGACTTGAATGTTCCTTCTCAGCTATGAAATACATTTTCATGATTTCCAAAGTATATTAAAAATATAATGAATAAGCCTGATGTTACCTTAAATATCTTTAAACGTAAGACATAACCAAACGTTTTAATTTAGGAATCACCTTTTTCTAACCTCAGCCTTCTACCTTGAAGAACTCCTTCCTCTCCCTCACCTACCGTATACCCAAAGGAAGCAAGCTTGTTGCCTGGTATGCATGGTTCTTGTATATGTGGAGCTAGTGTAATAAAAAGCTGTCAATATTACTGATTGGCACTATTCTTCCAATTATGGAATGGTCTAAGACAGAAATTCTGGGTATTTTCTTTGCAGCACTGGCAAGCTCCTTTGGCAGCAGCAGCTCTAAAGCCAGGAATTCTTACCATCTTATCATTAATAAAGCTGACGTTCTAGTCTTCTTATGTCACTATCTTGTATCTCATTTTCATTTTGTTCCAAAGTCAGTATCAAGAACCTTTTTTGGGTGGCTCATGACTGAAATCCCAGCACTTTGAGGTCAGGAGTTCAAGACCAGCCTGGCCAACATGGTGAAATCACGTCTCTGCTGAAAATACAGAAATTAGTCAGGTGTGGTGGCAGGCGCCTGTAATCCCAACTACTGAGGAGTCAGGATAATCGCTTAAACCCGGGAGGCGGAGGTTGCAGTGAGCCAATATCACACCACTGCACTCCAGCCTACCAGCTTGGCTGACACAGCAAGACTCTGTCTCAGAAAAACAAAAAACAAAGAAAACGCTTTTCTGAGTATGGGTCCTTGGATTAGTTTTCCACTTTGCCTTTCTTGCCTGAGCCATACTTATAACACATTCTCCACGGTACTTACCTTGTTTCTTTAAAGCAGGGGTCCACAACCCCTGGGCCACGGATGGCTACTACTCTGTGGCCTATTAGGAACCAGGCTGCACAGCAGGGGGTGAGCAGTGGGTAGGAACCATTACGGCCTGAGCTCCGCCTCCTGCCAGATCAGGTCACATTAGATTTTCACAGGCGCCATGAACCCTGTTGTGAACTATGCAAGGGATCCAGATGGCGTGCTCCTTATGAGAATCTAATGCCTGATGATCTGAGGTGGAATAGTTTCATCCCAAAACTATCCCCTGCAACCCCCACCATCCACAGAAAAATTTCTTCCACAAAATCAATCCCTGGTGCCAAAAAGGTTGGGGACCTCAACTTTAAAGTGTAACAAAAACCAATGTATTTGCAAAGAAATAAATTCAGAGTCATACAGATTTTTCTCCAATTTATTAATGTTGTCTTATTTACACCTAATTCAATAGCAAGTTTTGTATCTCCTTGTCTTTGGGTCTTTCCAAACATTCCACTCAGCTTTCATAAGATAATCTTCTTTATGAATCCATCTGCTTAATTTTAAATAAGTAATTATTAAGAAGTTTGGGAACCAATAAAATTGGCTCTTGGTAAGGGTACAACTCATATGATTGAAGCAGAAGTATGAAAGCATACTAGAGTATAATGGACTGGACACAATGATCAGTAAGTTGTGATCATCAATTGGTATATTTTTTAAGGAAGATGGGAGGGGTGGTTACTCTGTTTGGTAAAGAAAGCCTCAATGTCCTCACCTTTTAAAAATGAAAATACCAATACCTTTCTTTTAAAGCTCCCATGAAGATTAAATAAAATAAAAGGCATAAAGTACCTAGAAGTATCTGGCACATATCAGATGCTCAAAAAATACTCTAAGCAAGCACTGAATGAAACCAAACTCCATACTTAAAAAAAAAAAATCTCTATGAAACAAGTCTTGTTCAAATAATCTGTTTGAGATAAAAACTGTCTAGGACTATTTCTTATAATCCCAGCTAAAGTTTTACTATGTCAACCAAAACAAAAATTTTAAATTCCTCAATAGCATAATTACCACATTTAATGTCTCTTATACAACAGTTAGAGGACAAGCCTCAATGTGCTTAGAAGAGAAGGAAAACCACCTGGAACTGTGCACTTTATTCTACTCCTACCCATGTACGCTAGAAATAGTAACATGTTCTCCTTTCAATTCAGATATTTCATTAAATTAGGGTATTATCATTTCCTTCTACTAATCACATGGCCTATCAAGAAAAGATCTATCCGACAAATATTGATCACTAGGGTTCACAATTTTTAAAAAATCTGTTAAACTATCTGGAATCATACTCCCTACTATTATAGGTCAAACCCACAAAATAAATACAGTATACAGTTGTCCCTCAGTATAAGCAGGGCACTGACTGAACACCCCTGCATATACCAAAATCAGCACATACTCATATTCCTGTGGAACTCACCTATAGGAAAAGTCAGCCCTCCATATATGCAGGTTGCACATCCCATTAACATTGTATTTTCAATTCATGTTTGGTTTAAAAATAATCTAAGTATAAATGGACCAATACAGTTCACACCCATGTTGTTCAATGGACAACTGCACTAAATATAAGAACTCATATATGTTAGGTTTCAGTCACTGTGGTAAAATCATAGGAAGTCTAAACAAGTTCTTCTCTGTAAAGAACAAGCATTTTATCCTTGTGCTCTCCTATACAAGCTTGTTTTCCTAAGACAGATTCTGAGCCACATAACTCATTCAGAATAGCATTCCCAAACTGCTTTCTTATGATTGACAATAATCCTGATCCACACCTGTATGCTAAGCCACTGTTGATGTCATTGTTTCCTGTTCCAACACTAGTTTAACCTGCTAGCTCAGGAGCTTACCCATGCCTTCCCATTTCAGCATGACACAATGGCCTCAGCTTGGACCTCGACAAGAGAAATACTATCAATGTTCTGCCCCAGTTCTTTGCCCCATGCCCCATCTTGACCCACATTATGCCCAATGACTAACTAGAAATGCTCACACCTTCCATATTTGAAAGTTAAACTTTTTTCTTAAACTGAGACTTTTGTTAAGCATGTCTATAATTTTGTTCTATAAGGGATAGCAAAGAAGCAGAAGAGATAATTCCTACTCTCAAGATGCTCTTAATGTAACTGAAAAATATAAAGGGAAAGAAGTAAACATGAAATTGGTATAACATACATAAAATCTTAAAAAAAAAAAAGTGATGTCTTACCCTCTCTCCATCTATCTCATATAATAAAAAATTAAACCTTGTTACTCTTTAATTTCAAATATGATATAGTTTCCTTTGATATAATCCATACCACCCTCAGTTTCTTATGCACACCTACTCATGCTCTTCCATGAAGACTTCCCTGATTAACTAAAAGAAAGCTTAGCATTGTGACACCTACACATAGTCCCAAAATGCTTCCACATATGCCACCTGAAATAACATGCTTACCTAACTGCCCATATAGAAAAATAAACCACTTAATACATGTTTATTGAACACATTTCCCAAGTGATCTTATTCATCCATCTATTTAATAGATGGTTATATTAGCTTTGAGTAGGATGCAATGGTTCTCTATGATTCTTGTCTACCTTAGATGGCTTGAACATTTGGAAAATTTAATGTTTGAGGCAAAATATAATACATAGAACTTAGGCAACAGGTTAAATAACAATAGATGTCCCTCTCACTACTTCCACATTTTTTCCAAAGGGAAAAGCACCCTTTCAAAAGGGTTAACCTACTAATACCAACACATGCGAAACATTGCTATGCAAAATAGTGTTTCTCCAGCTCTATACTTTAAGAAATATAAACACAGGGATTACAACGAATTGAACTCTCTGCAAGAGGACCTCAAGATGAGCTTGATACATCTGCTTCTGCTCCTATCCCAATTATTAGCAGGTTTGCCACTCATCCCCTAAACACATCAGTTAAAACTATGCTATGTAAATAAGGCACACATGTCCCAGTTTTTCTGATGCAATTCTTATCTCACATACACTTCCTCTTGATGAGGTTGTCAAGTGTACACTTAACTATGACTGGGTTTTTATAAATGTGAAATCACCTTTGCAAAGATCATGACAGTGAGAGAAATCTAGTATGGTTGACCCCATCTTGCTTTAAGCTCAAAGGCTGGCTGTCCTCACTTATTCCTGGATATAGGCCAAGTTAACCAAGGGAGAAATTGAGTTTATACTTAAACTTGGAAGCAAGGATGATAACAGTCCCTCCCTAAAATTAACCCTCCTCCTTGGTCAGAGAAAGAAAATTAATGAAAGGTCACAAGGTTAGGATTATGGGAGGGGTACGAATTCTAATAAAATGTAGGCATAGTTTCTATAATCTTTTGCTTCTCAGGAGTCATGTGGTCAGAGATCACAAGATTTGTGACTTCCCCAATTGATCCTATAGATAACATCACTATTGTAGAACCTAAGGGTGATCTTTTGAGATGTTTGTTTCAGAGTTTTTCATTCTGACAACAAATTGACTCCACTGGGACCAATGACTCATGACTCAGCCGGTCCTGTGGTCTCTACCCAGAGGTGGGTAGACCCAGCACATGAGGACCGTTTTCTGTAGCCCTATAATTTCATTCTAAACCAATCAGCAAAAGGATAATTCTATATCCTCTTGGCCAGCACATTACCCATTAAAAACCTTATTCTCCCTCCGAGTTCTCAGGGAGGCTGATTTGAGTAATAATAAACTCATGTTCTTCTGTTTGGCCAGGCTTGCATTAATTAAACTCTTTCTTTACTCCATTCGATAACACTGTCTCAGCAAATTGGGTTTATCTGTGCAGTGGGTAAGAAGAGCCCATCAGGAGATTACAAATATGTGAGACTTTGTGAATAAATGAAGTTTAATTCCTATGTCTAACCAAAGGAATTAATACTCATCTGTTCAAAACACATGGTCACCACATTTACAGCAAAAGGCAGTGAGTAAAATACTTCTCAAATACCTTTAATGTTGTCTGCTAGCAAGCTGCACCTAAGCCAATGCTGCCTACCAAAGTATTAGAACCTTGCCTACTTTCTCCTTAGGTTGATTCCTAAAACTCTTTTCTACCAAGGTATCAACTCCTCTAATTCTTAACAGCTACCAAATTCCAAAAACAGTTTGGTCTTGACTTTCTTACCAAAGATTTATTCAAATTAAAGTCAACTTAATTCTCTTGTAAGCTTTAGTCAGTCCAGGCTTTTCACCTCATTCTAAATTTTTATCCATACATCTCAGCACAGAATCAGAGGGTTTCCCTTACTGTATAAAAATAACCGGTAGTTAGTGTGGCTCATCAGCAACCAAAGCGACACCTTTTGTTGTTACTGTTTCAATCTCTCTCTTTTGATTTTGTTTTGTTTACTTTGAGAAAAGAACTTTTATCTGAAGAATATGAGCCCTTTCAAATTATCAGGCCCCGGGTAAGGCATGGTGGCTCATACCTGTAATCCTAGCACTTTAGGAGGCCAAGGCAGGTGGAGAGCTTGAGCTCAGGAGTTCAAGACCAGCCTGGGCAATATGGTGAAACCCTACCTCTACAAAATAATACAAGCTGGGCATGCTGGCATGTGCCTGTGGTCCCAGCTACTCAGGAGACTGAGGTGGGAGGTTGGCTTGAGCCCAGGAAGCAGAGGTTGCAGTGCACTGAGATCTTGCCACTAAACTCTAGCTGGGGCGATAGAGCTAGACCTGTCTCAAAAAAAATTATAAATCAGGCCCAAAGAGGCATTAAAATGAGGCAGCAATTACACCCTACTTCCTCACTTTTGAGCTACGTATTCATCTGTCGATTGCTTCCTACTGCAACAACTAGCGATAAATTAACCTAATGGCACACAGACAGCTTAACAATGTATAGCCAATCACTAATCAATGTTATTTCTGTAAACTAACAAAAATTTCTAACAATTTTGTATCAGTCCACCTGTTTAGCCTCTAAAAATCCACCTGTAAAAGATGCTAATCAATGTGCATATACAGAGCAACTTGAATCTATGCTCCCAGGTTGCAATCTCAACCTTGGCCCCAATATACTCTCTAGTTCTATATTAATTTTGCCTCAGCTTCTTCCTTTTAGGTCAACACTTTGTTTTCCTAAGTTGCTTTTTGACTGGCTTTCCAAGATCCTAGAACTAAAATCTAAAATTCAACAGCAACACCTCAACCCTCATTGGGTGATTCTTACATTCGTAGAGTTTGTGATACACAGAGGTTTGCCAAATTAATCTGGTGTCCCTTGCCTTCTTTCCCAGATTGTATTATCTGACAATCCCCTCTTTTCTAAAACCAGGTCAAGAAGAAGAAATATACACGTATATTTAAAGAACAAGTATGTAAGGCCACATGCCAGACTCACCAGGAATTCAGTACAAGGTATGACTTTTTACAATCTAAAGAATGCAGCAGTGCTCAGGCAGAAAAAAAAAAAAAACCTCTCACATATCCTGGGGGTGGTTTAGTTTTTCATTGGGTGGTTTTTTGTTTGTTTGTTTGTTTTACAATATTATCAATAATTCTGCACTAAACAACTTTGTATATCTATTTTGATACAGTTTTGCAAATACATTTAAAGTAAACAATGTTGGGCTAGAGGGCTACAGCAGAGCTCTGCAACCTTTTTCGTAAAGGAACAGATAATAATTATTTTTGGCTTTGCCCATATGGTTCTGTTGCAACAACCCGATTGTGCCTTGTAGTGCAAAAGCACTATAGGCAATACAAATAAATATTGGGGTGGCTGTGTTACAACAGAACTTTATTTAAAAGAAATAAGCGGTGAGGCAGACTTGTCTCAAGGGCGATAACTTGTGATACTCCTTAAGTTAGCTAGAGGGCATATACATTTAAATGGCATTGCTAGACTGAAGGATTTATGCCTTTGAAATTTTTATTTACTTCTCAAATGGATCCTTTTTTTTTTCTTTGTATGGGGCTATGAGGCCCTCAAATGCACACTCTAGAGAGAGCATGCATAATCTCAGCGTCAACTGTGTCAAGGGCCTGAGATTTTGCCCTACTTGTAAACTAACAAGGTAGCCTGCCACCCTTTCAAGGATGAAGGTAGAGGACATGACACTCAGATCAGAGACAAATGACTTATTAGTCACATCCCAGCAAGGAGCTTAAATATCAGCACGTTTCCATCAGTTCCCCTTATGCCCACATATCATGGAAGCAACATGGATGAGCCCAAATGGATGTCTGCATACCCAGTTCATTTACAGGAAAGTAAGCCTGAGTTCAGGAATCCCAAATATATAATGCACAGTAATTATAGCTGACTTTTGCTCTGGAGAGAGAAATTATTTCTATTATATACACGTAAACATACCTGCCCTTTGTTCCAGAGGGAGAAACTATGTCTATTTTCCATGGCTGTTTACTATACAAGCATCCCTGGAAGGATAGTCCAAAACAAAGGCAGTCAGTGCTTCTGCTTGCAAAACATGTGGAAATGCAAGAAGCCCAAGGACAATCACCTTCTAACAATATGTACCCCTTGTTTCTACATTGTCTTAGGCTCCCAATGAATTTTTCTATAAGCATGCAATTCTATCAACTAAGATGATTAATCTGACCAACAAACGGAGGACCAAATGTATTTAATTTTCCTTTTGAATTATATAAAAGGCTACTACAAACAGGATCTGTAAGAAGCAAGATGAGGTCAATCTATATAGTACTGACTTCCACTAGGTCCTCTAGGGTCTTGGAAAAAATAAGCTTGACAAATCCCATAAACCATCAAAGTCTACCTTAGAAATTCAAGTGGCTTCCTCTTTATGTTTCTATGTTGACCTTTCCACTTAAACTAAAGCATTAATCCAGGAATAGCAAGTTGTATAAGCAATTACACAGAATCTACCTTGTAATCTGTCTGGATGAAGAAGTCCAAGTCAATTTCTGGCTAGTGACTTGATGCTGACCTGAATACCTTTTAGAGATAAAATCGTAATACTAACAATTTCAGCTAAAGTCAGGGACTGATTTCATAATACCTATCCTAACCAGATGACTCCATCCTAGAGATAAACTACCTGCAGGCTACACCTAAAGAATAAATGAGTCACACAGCCCCTCCAGGAAATTCCCCCAATTAATCTAGGTTAGACTCATTTTGGAGAAATCTCAGCAATCATGAGAACTACATAATGTTTCCTCAAATACCTAAAGGTCTCTTAAAATCACTCTTACAATACAAGTCATTATGTTTCTGCTAAGTGGAGAAACTGTCTGAAAAACATGACATGGGGCTATGTAGCTCTCAAATGGACACTCCAGAGAGAGCACCCATACTCTCACTGTCAACCATGAAGGGTCTGAGATTTTGCCCTACTTCTAAACTCAGCCAAACTTCAATCAGCCAAACCTCTCCTGTTTGTTCATACAACAGCCAGGTGGCATTCAGCCACTTTATGGAATGACTGAGCAATGGCTACAAGAACGGGGGGGGGGGACAAGACTTCTGAAGACACTGACAGGTATTTTGCATGTAAGGTTAGAGGGTTGGGGCCATCTCTGGTTATGCGGAATGAGAACCAAACCATGGGCAGAGCCATCTGGACGGGGTGGTAGACCCCGCACTATGTTAAATTTAAAGCACTTGAATTTTGTTTTTGGTTTTTCAATTAAGACAAGGCCTGCCTCTACTGTCCAGGCTGGAGTGCAGTGGCGCAATCTCAGCTCACTGCAACCTCTGCCTCCAAGGCTCAAGTGATCCTCCCACCTCAGCCTCCTTAATAGCTGGGTTTACAAGTGCGCACTGCACCACCACACCCGGCTAATTTTTGTTATTTTTTGTAGAGACAGGGATTTGCCATGTTGCCCAGGCTAGTCTTGAAGTCCTGAACCCAAGCAATCTGCCCACCTTGGCATCTCAAAGTGCTGCGATTACAGGTGCGAGCCACCACACCTGGCCTATTTAAGGCACTTATGACTGTTGATAATAATTTTCTCCTCAGGCTCAAACCCTTCATCTAGAAGAGTCAGTGCAAAAGAAACAAGAGCATTTAAAAAAAAGAAAGGTCCGGAGAACCATTATACCTCACTACCCCCATACCTCGACCCATAAGAACCACTGTAGACAGACTTAGCTATCTGTATATTCACTAAATGGTTATCATACTTCTGACTTAAGACTGTCAACTTTACAAAAGAATCTGGGCAGTTGAACCAAAAATATTTTTTAACCTCCTTTTTGGTAGGCTGTCACCTGAGGGGTGAACCTAGCAGGCTGGCCTGTGGCAACCTCTGCGAGAAAGAATAATAATAAAAAAAAAAAGACACATCATGCCCAGGAATTTTCAAAATAGGTCTATGTAATTGCCAAGATCTTTCATCCTGATCATTAACAATGAAGCGCAAAGAGGACATGATCTCTCTCTGGGGAAAGGCCACATTCAAGTGACCAAACTGCTTACTAATAACCAGGGTCAAAAGAGAGAAGATCAGAAATTTTTTTTGAGTCAATTTTGTGACCACTCCAACACTCAACAATACTGGATTTCCACTGATGGTAGGGAATGAGGAAGTCCCACTGAATATCCTGCCTAACAGCCCACTGTAGAGGGGCTTTTGAGACAGAAGGCATACCATCATTAAGATGCAAATGGTCCCACAAACTGAGTAACACGATACAAATTAGTTTCAAGGTTCCTAAGTGTGGAGAAGTTGGCTCAGCAGAGCGGTGCATCAACACTATAATGTGAAAAGGTATCAACAGCAGTAAGGTAGTATCAATAGACCCAAGGAGTCAAAGGTCCAATGTAGTCAAGATGCCAGCAGAAGACAGGAACCCATGCAACATGACCTAGATGACTGCAAGATAACAATGTTAATTTTTGGCAAGAGCCACAAGTCTGAAATACAGCAGTGTCTTCTCCATCAGAAACATAAAGTACTTTATATCAACAATATCTTGCACCTTACCATTTTTTTTAAAGAGATGAAGGCAAGTATCAAATTGCTAGGGTATTTAAACTCCACTGGATACATTTAAAAGAGCAATGCAACCATTTAATTTTTAAATGTCAATACCAAATATCCAAATCGTATCTTTTGCAATTATTCAACTTATAATTTAGAAATTTAGCTGTTAACTTCAAAACGCACCAGTAGTTTCTTCAGATGAAAAAAATCTGATGTACTTCTCCACATTATAGTACCTTTACACTATGGAAAAAAAATCCTGTAATTTCACTATTTCAGATTCAGATCTTGATGAGCCATAGGACTTTTGAAATGCTTCAATTGGGCCAGGTGCAATGGCTCATACCTATAATCCCAACACTTTGGGGGACCAAGGCAGGCAGGTCACTTGAGGTCAGGAGTTCAAGATCAGCCAGGCCAACATGATGAAACCCCATCTCTACTGATAATACAAAAATCAGCCGGGCTAATTTTCAGGTGTTGGCACACACTTGCAATCTCAGCTACTTGGGAGGTTGAGACGGAAGGATTGCTTAAACCCAGTTAAGCGGAGGTTGCAGTTAGACAAGATCACAGCACTGCACTCCAGCCTGGGCAATAGAGCAAAACTCCTCTAAAAAAAAGAAATCCTTCAATTGTGGCAATACCTGCTTGTCAAGTTTATTTTCTTACTGCAAAATTCTGTTTTTCCCAAAGTCTATATAACACTGTCTGGAATACAGTAGGCACTCGATAAATATGTACTGGATAAATCAAAGTCTAATGTCAAATATTAATTTCTATTGTTTTGCCTTCCTAACACACTGCAATGCCATCTGAGGCAGATTATCTCAAGAAACCTTGGGAAGAGACTATGTATATGAAAATACCATAGTGTCATACAGTTTCACACACATTTAAAAAAAAAAAAAAAACTATAGTTATCTTACACATAATGATCCCAAAACAATTTCTAAAAGTACTGACTCTTAGAGACTCTTAGTAAATCTTTTTTTAATGAGACAGAGTCTGTTCTGTCGCCCAGACTGGAGTGCAATGGCACGATCTTGGCTAACTGCAACCTCCGCCTCTCAGGTTCAAACAATTCTCCTGCCTCAGCCTCCCAAGTAGCTGGCATTAGAGGCATGTGCCACCAGGCCCAGCTAATTTTTGTATTTTCTGTAGAGACAGGGTATCCTCATGTTGGCGAGGCTGGTCTTGAACTCCTGACCTCAGGTGATCTGCTCACCACAGCCTCCCAAAGTGCTACGATTACAGGCGTGAGCCACCGCGCCCAGCCAGTGTATCTTTAAAGCAGTTAAATCAAAGCATCCTACTCTTGATTAGAGAAAAAGAAAGAAAAGTAATATAACTGATCCCTGAGGCACAAGGGAAACTAGGAAGAAAAATAAGCAAAGAAACCAAAACAGATTCAAGAGAATATTCCTGTACAGAATATTCCGACAAACCACCGAGTTCCCCTTAATGGAGGACTCAGGCTGCCTGAGCAGCTTTGCCCAAAATTATGCTCCTTTCTCAAGGCAGCCCACATCTAGTGCAAAGTCATAAAAGCATCGAAATCTAAGTCCAGCGCATGAGTTAGTTGAGGATGTCATTGGAACCGAATCACAACTCAACTTTTCCCTCTGTCCAATTCTACTTCCTTTCCCTGTTTCACAGATGTTGATCTAAAGGGTATTTACTGAACATCCTGCATATTAAACTCTATCTCAGGCTTCCCATGGAATCTAACCTGCAATAATTCCTGAGAGCACACTTGTAGATCTACGCAGCATACAAGAGTTAAAATAATAGTTTCTACCTACATATCTTAACAGGTGAAGAAACAGTACTAAAGAAAAAGATACTAATACTTCTCTAATATTTTCCGTAAAAAAAAAATGCATACCAAGTTATGAACGTATTAAATATCTCAGTGTATTTATCTGTTAACATTATTTTCCAGGCTAGGGCAACACTTCTTTCCTTCTAAACCCAAATAACAGTAATTGAACACATTAACTTAGTATATTAAATGTCAGATTATTCACGGTTTGTTTTATGTGATTTTTCTATTGTAATTTCTAATCAGAATAAAAATTCTCTAAGTATTTCATTTTCTCTAAGCAAATTAAAATTCAGAAAAATATTCTCCTATTAAGATTCCCTGCTTAAGAAGAAGAAAATGCTGTCCTGAAATGTAATAGTGGAATGAAAACACTTAGAAATAATTTAGAGATCCTATTAATAAAAGTATCATTTCCTATATACCCCATTACAAGAAGCAAGGTTAGAATATGAATTAATTACATGGAGAAATGTAGGGAAACACTTCCAGGTCCATTTTCATAGCTGTTTCTCAAAAATGTAATCACTTCTCTTACAAGCTCTTGAAATCATAAAATACTTTAAAAATTGATGGAAACTCT